AATGAGCACCCACTTTGGGATTATAGGAACAGTATGGGATTATGCAGCTGACTCTACTGTGTCTGTGAAGTGTGTGAGTTGGGATCGCGTTATCCAATTTATTCTGTGTCAGTATCAGTGGGGCTGGTGTCCTGGTCAGTGTTTATGAACACTAAATTCTCTGTTCTCTGCTCTTTGTTTCCCTATTAATTAAGCTATTTCTAAATCTCCTTAGGGAAAGTTATTTTTTCCTTTGTTGATCTCATAAATATTGACATCCTGTTGACCCAAACATCAGCTTAACACTATTCTTGTTGCATGCGTGATCTCTTTCTGAGTGACTTTATTTCTTTATATTACTCCAGATTCTGCTTATAGTTCTCCAAGAACCCTTTCAATAAAGACTTGTTGCCCTTGTTCTTACCATTTCCTTTGTTCTCCATTCTTTCTTATACCTTAGAAGTTCCTTCTGGATTCATTTTCCTGCTTCCTAGATTACCATCTTTAGAAATTCTGTTAAAGAGGTGCTATTGATGGTGAATCCTTTTAATTATGGTTTCCCTTCAAATGTTCTTATTTTGTGCTCATTCTTGAAAGACGGTTTACTTTGTGTCCAAGTCCAGGCTACTAGTTTAGTTTTTTTTTTTCTTTTTTCTTTTAGCACTTTAAGGACTTTACTTACTGCCTTCTGTGCTCTAAATAATGGCTGAAAAGTCAGCTACCATTACAATTGTTTTTTGTTTGGTTATTTGTTTGTTTTTGCTGTTGTTTTTGTTGTTGATGTGGCTCTTTTCTCTGTGTCTGCTTTTAAGATCGCATTTGGTTTTTCATCACATCTCAAAAACTCTCAGTCAATATTTGCTTGAATAAGGTATCTTTCTGATTCTCTCTTAGCTCTTTTTCAGATATTCTGATTAAATAAATGTTAGATATTCTCACGATAGCTTCCAAGTCTGAATTTTTTCACCCTAGGTTCTGTTTCTTTTCTTCTCTACCTTTTGTTTTGGTTTCTATCTTCCATTCTGTCCTTCACATGATCCCTTTGGCTGAATCTTATGTGGAATTTAAATAATCTTTTGAGTTACACTCTTTAGTTGGAGAAGATACAGAGAAATAGATTTAGATATTATTTTTAACATCTACCTGCTAGATGTTATTTTAAATAGACTCTTGTTCTTTTCTCATGCTTTAAATGCTTTCTTTTATTTCTTTGAACATGTTAAATGTGCACATTTTGTATTCTGAATTTAATCACAAAATTCATAGTCTTTGTGGGTCTAGTTATCTTGTTATGATTGTTTCTGTTTACTCATGGTGCCTTGTTTTCACCAGTGTTTTTTATTTTTTTTTATTAAAGAATAATGGCAAAGAATATTCCAGAAGTGTCTGAGTATGGTGGCTCATGCCTGTACTCCCAGCATTTGGGGAGGCTGAGGTGGGTGGATTGCTTGAGCCCAGGACCCCATATCTACAAAAATACAAAAGCAGTTGAGCGTGCTGGTGCCCTCCTGTAGTCCCAGCTACTCGGGAGGCTGAGGTGGGAGAATCACCTGAGCCTGGAAAGTTGAGGTTTCAGTGAGCAATGATTGTGCCACCTCACTCCAGCCTGGGTGACAGGAGTGACGCCCTGTCTCAAAAAAAAAAAAAAGATCAGAATATTCCAGAGAATTAACTAATCTCAACCCACATGAAGAGGTCAGAATATTCCAGAGAATTAACTAATCTCAACCCACATGAAGAGGTCAGAATATTCCAGAGAATTAACTAATCTCAACCCACATGAAGAGATCAGAATATTCCAGAGATTTAACTAATCTCAACCCACATAAATAAGAAATGCACATAAAGACATGTAAAGTAAAATAGCAGAACATCAAAACAGTTCTCCATGCGTATAATTTAGCTGAAAATAATATTGGGTTAACAATGGTAATTCTGTCAAATTCTAGACTCCATGAAGTAGCAAAACGCCCTTAGCCCAACGATGAGTTTTTGATAATGCTTTGTTCTTGTTTTTCTTGGTGTTATTGGGTATTTTACTTTAGAGTATTTGCATCATTACCTTGCCAGCTCAACTATGTATGTAGACAGTTAGGGTTTTTGTTTGTTTGTTTGTTTCGTTTTGTTTTTCACTGTTTTCTTTTCTTCATCACTTTAAGCATTCGGTACTGGGAATGTTCCCCAAGTTATGTAATTATGATATTACTATATTTCTGGAAATGAAAGTCAGAGAAAATAAATTTGTAAAAGTGTATACCTCAATGTCTTCTAGCAGCAAGCTTTAGTTTACGATAGAACAAGCACACACACAAAATGTTGGCGCTTTCAGCATCAAGCTACAAACCTGCAGTTCATTTTCCTTGGCCATGCATACTTTTATTTCTTGCTGCAGGCTGCAGAAATGAGCACAGAGAAATGTAACTATTTTCAAATTTATTAGAAAATAAGGATTTACATGGTTAAATTTTACATTTTCATACAAATTAATTTTTTTTCCAAATTTTAATGGAGTATAAAAATGACATTTCAATGTATACTTTTTCTTCTGTAGAGTTGCCAGCATAACTACTATGAGGATGCAAAAGCCTATGGATTCAAAAATAAACTAATTATAGTTGCAGCTGAAACAGCTGGAAATGGATTATATAACTTTATTGTTCCTCTCAGGGCATACTATAGACCAAAGAAAGAACTTAATCCCATAGTACTGCTGTTGGATAACCCGTAAGTATATTTTAATATACACAAACAAGATAAACTGTATTTAATAGTATATTAATGTATATCAAAAATAATTGCCTGTAATATGCTGGTAGTATTTTAAATCAGATACATTATGGTACATGATTCATTGGGAGTTATATTCTGTGCTGTGATACAAAATATATCATTGAATATGATTTTGTTTCATAAATACTACTTAAAACTGGGATATTCTGAGAATTTTATTTAAAATTGTTTTGCAAGTGGTCATCTACTCATAATACCACAGGAAACAGTCCACTGAAATAATTACTGCAATTTTCCTTAAATTAATCAACTAGCCTGACAAATCTCTGCCAAAACTGGACAATTTTTTTTTTGTCTTTCTAAAGAACCATTAATTATCAGAGAAGCATTTACTGATCCATTTTTATATGTTATAACACAAAGCATCATCAGAGGTTATTATGATCGGACCACTGTTAAACCATACATTCTATGACATAATAGAAGTAATGCTTTACCATGTGCATTTATTTTGAAAATATTGGATTGGTTTACTTTTGTTAAATGGGACTACTTAAGCATTTCAAAATTCTTATGCAAGTATAAATATGGGTCACTGAATGCGACGGTCAAAGCCATTTTATTCTAAAATTATAATATCCGTCTCTGTGACTGGAAATTAGTAGCAGGTGGTCTTCAGATTAATACCATATTTTAGGATTGTCTCACTCTCCTCATCCATTCTAATGTGATGCAAATGTCAAGATGAACTATTAATAAATGAGGCCAAATTCTGTTGCCTTGTCTCTGCCTTTCAAAATTATCAAAGTTCTCCTTAAGAGAGACATCTCCCCAATACATTATAACTTTATAGTGTTGCTTATTCTCACTATACCAATATCAAAATGCTTATTGATGCAACTTTCTTAGCATCATCATTATAAGAATAATCTACTGCAAAAATTTATCACACTTGTAGAATTTTCATTTGAAGAATTTTTAGATATGATTACTCAATGACGTTTTCTATACTTCTTTGGCATCTAAGGAAAGTTGAGGCATATTTAGGGTAAATGAACAGAAACTTGGACCAAATTTCAGAAGAAATAAAAGCTTGTTAAAATAAATTTCAGAACAATCAAAGTTGCGTTGTGGGACGGCCATGGCAATGCAGTGTTTGTAAATCACTTCTTTCAAACATAACCTTAATTCTGAAGCATCTCTGGTAGGAAGCTCCAAGGAATTGGCTGAGCTGCCACACAAGAGATGCCTAACTATGTGAGTTCAAATGTGTCAGCTTTTGCCTTCTTTTGCTTATGATGAGTCCATTGTCCTGAGAGTGGAAGTTAAGACAACGGCATTTGCAAACATTGCGTTAGAGTAGCTCCATGTTGTATGGCTTGGATCAAACTGGATCAATTCAGGTACCAGGTTACAGACAGGAATATAGGAAGTGGATTGAGAAGAAAGTGAAACTGTGCTTACAGCATCGTTCTGATAGGACTAAGGACAAAACTGTACGTTCCTCCTGTTTACATAGTTTCAAGATAAAGTTGTATAACTTTATCTTGATAGATGTGTAAACCTCTCTACCAAAAATCAGTCTCTTCATATTTGGGACTGGAGTTCACTCTATGAACAGAGATGGACTCCTCATTTTCAATCTTCAGTCTTGCTAGGTAATCTTATCTCAAATCTCTTAAGTCTCCATTTTCACCATCACACAGGTGACAGGAGCTAAGCAGTGTTTTACTTGTATGTTTTATGTAGATTTTAGAGTCGCTATAACCAAATCAATCCCTTTCTGCTTGGTTTTGAATAAACAGGTTACAGAAATGTCTGATTATTGAATGATTGATTTATTTGTATATTAAGATTAAAAAATCAATTCTGTGTTGTTCAAGATTGATCAATGATCAATCACATTGATCAATGATTGCTCAATCACAGAACAATCTGAAATCTCCACCTCTCTTAATTACTGACAACCAGTTAGTATTTCTCTATAAACATATATGTGGCTTTTATCAGAGAATAATTCATATGAATAAGACCATAAAGATTATTCAATAAAGTTAATACTATTTACCTTTATCCTCTGTTCATAATTATAGTGACTATTGGTCATTTACTACATGTCAGTCTTCATACTACACACTTTAATTTACATTTAGTTGCACAAGTCACATATTGACATTACAGTGATGATTTAGTCTTAGAGAGATATGCCAAACAGTTTAAAATCTCAAATTAAGATGTAAACATTTAAATAAATCGAAAGCTGTGTGAGGTGGCTACAACGCTGTCTCTTATTTTAAGAGGATGTAAAAGAGACACAAAGAACGTGAATGACCTTTTTCACGGTCAATTCTTGGATTAGACCTTTCTACGAAATTTCTGTTTTATTTTTCTTTCAACTTACAGGCTTTTGATGTATGAAAAATACATGTTGCTTGCTCATACTTTCTGAAAACAAGAATATATCTTAACTTTGGATTATTTTTGCATTGAAAGTTCCCTTTGCCTTCCTAATGGCTTACATTTGGAAATCCAACAATCCACATTATATTGTTATTAAATCATTCTTGTAGGGTTTGACTTTATTTCAAAGGGTTAGATTGAAAGTGCATGCTGGAAAATCTATTAGCTTTCTGTGTACTTCCCGAAAGTAGTGTCAAACATTCTTATTTGTTGTCCTCTGTTCCTTTGGTTAAGAGTGAGGAAACTAAAACTAAACACCAATTAACAATGTTCCAGTAAGTTTTATGCAATTCTTTTTTTTTTTTTCTTTCTTTCTTTTTTTTTTTAAACAATGAGATGCCCATTGCTCTGAAATGGAGAACATTTTGCAATCTATTCTACAATATTACCAAAAAAACGAGACTTTCTTCTTTACAATATTTCCATGTTATGGGAATTCCTACAATGCTGATTGCATACACTTCTAGAATTATTAGTTAGTTTTGAAGGTTTGACTTGACTTTAATTTCACATGCTTGCAGCTGAAAATCAGTACATGGCTATTTTTAAAAATTAGTTGAAAGTCCAATTAATTCAATATAACAGAAATAAATAATAGCAGATGTAATAAGCAAGGAATTTTAAAATGTAAATTAAATTTATAATATTCATACACATAATATGCCAAAATAAGTGTTCACAATGTTTTCAAATATAAAGCTTTCTAGATCTCAAATGTAATTAAATAAAACTCAGTCATATTGAAAAGCATCTTTCAGTTGGTACTGGTTCATTAGAGCTGGTGTCAGTTCTGATCGGTTGGCCATCTGTTCTGTTTGGTCTGTTGTGCCATACTGATTTTAAATATTTTGATTACCACCCCAACCTTAAAGGTCATCTAGTCATTTTTAACATCATCTCATGTGAAAGACAGAAAAGCAAGTCAAAAGCTAGAATATATTATCCAAAGCTACATAAGGATGAAGTGAAAGATCCAGGCTTTTGCTCTTAATATTTATCAAAGTCTTGTTCACACTATCCATTTATTAAATCAACCTTCTTTCCACATATGGTGCCAAGTCAACTTCAGCTTCTTTTAAAAGTAATGATAAAATGTCTGATGTCAGTGTTCTTATTTTTAAAATTCAAACTTTAGACTCATTCAGATCTGAGATAAGTTCTAAATTTATTCTCTTGATAGGTCTGTTAAATGTTACTGAGTCTTTTTCAGCCACATTTGTCTGATTTGTAAAATGGTTAAAACATTTATTTTAAAAGCTATTGTGAGATGAGGTAGATAATGTATATAAAATCCTAGTGCAATATCTGATTCATAAAAGGAAGATGAGAAACATCATTGTTTTCTTCTGTCAATCAAGAAAATAACACTGTTACTATTCAAACTGATGGAAGGATTTATATGAAAACCCAATTAATGGAAAAGCACACTTATTTAAGTAGTTAAAATTAAACTACTTTCATATTGTCTAGCAAGGGATAAACTACGTAAAAATGGAATTAGGAAATGTTAAAATAAACTATGCTCATAAAAGCATACTATACTCATTTCTTGAACTTGAAATAAAGGAATTAAATTTTTATTGTTATTAGTTAAATGGGAACAAAATAATGGTCTTAAATTTTACTAATTCATACAAATTTGCAAACCTTTTTTACTTCCTAACAGTCACTGACTAATATTTGAATGACAACTTTTACTATGAGAATTTCTATAAGAATATGAGGCTTTTGACTCATAAGTAGTCATCTTTTCTGGTAGAATTGCAGTTAAGACTCATTAATGAATGTGCTCATTTTTCTTCTGTTTACTAACATCAGTTACTTTTTGTGTTTGTTGAATTTTTATTTTGTTTATTACCAGTTAGTTTCAGCCTGTGTTGTTTAGCTTTGTTTCGGTTCATGTATATTTATTCCTCCCTGAATCTATTTTTTTTTGTCATGTTTACCTTTTTAATTGATTATAAAATACTTCTTTATATATTAAGCAACTTTGGTCTACAAATTTTGTATAAGTAACAATTTTTCGACATTTACTTCTTATTAATCTGTTTGTAATGAGCTATATACTTAAATCTGTCAATCATTGTCACCACTTCTCCTTAATGTAATTCCTAACGTAAATAAGCCTTCTCTGTTTAGCAGTCAGATTTTAAAAAATGCATACATTTTAATCTACTGCATAATATTTTTAAATATAAAACTCTTCATCAGTACTTTGAGGACATAATATAGGAAAAGGACATCTAGTTTTAGGAATATTTTGTTTTTGTTTAATGTTTTTCAATAATAATGCTTTCCAATGTAAAGGTTGTGCTTGCCAATTAGCTGCCTTCTAATGATTAAAAAATTGTTTTATTATGAGCCTATGATATCATTTATGTTACTCACTTACTAAGCAGGTCGGTGCCATGAAAACTGTTGACAATGTATTTAGGTGAGCTGGCATGATACATGCAAATGCAGAATTTATTTATTCTTTATGTTTCAGATTTCCTTTTAAGCCAGCTTTTTTTAATAGCTATAGTAGATAAATCTATCTGTTATACAAAATTAAATTTTGCAAAAAATACGGCATAGTAGACCACTTACCTTAGATATCTTTCATCAGGATTATATATTTAGCATGGTTCAGGTGCCTTCATTTACCTTGTAACATAGCTGCTCTAATTCATGTAAGGATGAACCATGCTACCACAATACAGATGTTAAAGCAATTTCCAAGGATTTGGAACATTGCTTGCCCATTGTAAGTACATATTTGTGGTAAAATTGCATGTGACTGAAATTCATGAGTCTCTTAAAGAATAACAATGATTAAATTTGATGGCCAGTTAGCCTTTATATTCTCTGCTAGAAAAAGCAACAAAATAGAAAGGCCTTATCTTCATTTTTAACTCTAGTAGAAGGGTTGGCATAAAATCAAGACTTACTTTGTCCACAGTGACCTCAACACACAGGCGAAGGAATTTTTCAGATCACCACAACAGCTCAGTGTTGCCCCACTCTTGTGGTACCTGCATCCTCCTATGTGCTTCTCCAATTACAAGACAGGGTGAGAGAGATGTGGAGGGTTTTGAATCAGCAATTAAAATAGCCCTGCTAATTTTAAGAAGCAGGACAGTGCCTAGAAAGAGTATAACTAGAAATCTCTACCATAAGGCACTATCAGAGACTGCTACTGGAGTGTATATTTGGTTATAATATTTGTTGAAAACATATATCAGGATCTTTAAAACTGTATATAGGCTGTGATCCACTAATATCTCTTCTATAAATGTTTTGGGATAATGATGAAATATCAATGCTTAAAAAAAAAGAAAAGAAAGTCTTCGGAAGATGTGAACACCAGTGTTAAATACAATAGCAAGGTACTGCAAAGAACTGATAACTGCAGTATTTCACATCAAAAAGTGAAAATAACTTACAAAATAAGTAAGTGAGGATTTTAAGAATGAAGTGTGGTACATTTGTAAGATGTAATAATATTGGGTCATTGTAATGACTACAAAGAAAATTAATGATAGGAGAAATTGAATCAAAATTAAAATAATGGTATTCTTTACAAGTTTTTTTTTTTCTTTTAATGTTTTGCTGTATTGAGCATTCTTTTTCTTCAGACTGTAAAGAGCTAGAAGGATGACCAACAGGAGAGAAATAAGTCAGGGAGAGAAAAAAAGTTCATCTAGCCAGGGAGGCTTGTAGGTACTATAGTTTCCTTGGCCTAGTATTTTCCTCTCCTCCTCTTACGCTGAACAAACTCCTACTAATCCTTTAACATTCAAATTAAATATCAGCTCTATGAAATGTTCCTCAATTCTGCCTCCTAAATATAACATATTGTTTGTTTTTTACAGATTAAAATATGTAATAGAATTGTATGATTTTCTACAAGAATTTTTAAAATTCTGTATTTCTTATAAGTTAACAGGATATTCTTTTGCGTAAGACTGAATGTATTAAAATGTCTATTAAATAAAATTTTTGGATACATATATGCTGAGTCAATAGATACCTGAAGAAATTAATAACTTTGTGAAACGAATACAATACATTAAGCAATTTCTAAGGAAGCTTTCTGGTTTATGGTTCTTTCCTCAAATATGTATATAAGAAAAGATTTCAGTCATAAATGTTTCCTCAATAATGTATATTGAGTATACTAATAAATTTTTAAATGCATTACTTTCATTATGATTTTATATAATACGTATTTTGCATGAGCATATATACTATATTTATTTGACAAACTGATATATTATATAGGGCGTGTTGTGATTATACATCTATCCCTTAGAGAAAGTGGTTCTTAATAGACATGCTTAATAGTTGCTCACTAATAGGCATTAGTACCCATTGCTTTAAATCATCTAAAAAATGCATTATTTTTTTATTTTACAAGGCCTCCTCTGTGTGGATAACTTTTAAATTTATATATAAGATTTCTTAGTCATAATTAAGAATATCAATTCTGTATTTTTGTAGAATTATGCCATAATGTTTCTGATTTAGAAAGCTGAAATACAACTTGTTTTTATAATTCTGAGGCATTTTATGATTCATAACAAGTGCAAATGACATTTTCTAGTTAATGTTAAGAAAAAAAGCACTAAAATTAATTTTGTCAGCAGTGTTGAGTTTTGGAAATACAAACTAAGTCAACTTACTTCCTTTCCCTAGAAGTGCTGCCACTGTTGTGACATTGTGTTTCATTTTGTAACCCATCTACTACTTAGGCCAGATATGCATTTTCTGGATGCAATCTGTTGGTTTCCAATGGTTTACTACATGGTGGGCTCTATTGACAAGTAGGTGACAAAATCTTTGGCACACTAACTAGTGTAGTGTCCTGTGGTTTGTCATGTGCTGTGCCTTGTTACTGCATGATGAGTGTAATTTGCCGTGTCAGTATTGCAAATATGATATATTTTGCATGTAGAGCTTATGTTCTTGTGTTATACATCTTGTATTAAACTTTCTAAGCAGTAATCTATTGTTGAATTAAAACAAATCTTGCTGCATGTCAATTTTGTCAGTTTTGCTCAGTTTCTAATGCTATTTTTAGTTTCGTGTCATCTATAACAACGTTATTACTATTGACATAGTGTTAGAGAAAACTAAAGTTGCAATATTGTGATGCATTGATAGCATTACGATAACTTGTGGAAACTGAAATAATTTAGAAATGCTCATTTTAACTTAGATTTATAAATTAGAGCAATTCCTTTAGAGTTTACTTTGGTCACTTGTCAGAGTTTATAATTTCTAAAATATTTGTTAATTAAAAGGTCATATGTGTTTAACACATTAGTAGTTAAATACAAATTCTTATACATGTATCATGGTGACATTAAAATATATATATAAAAATAAAAGATCAAAAAGCTAATATACTTGAAATAATATGTCACTTTTCCACCTCTAAATAATGTCGGCCAGAGCCTTCAAAATAAAATGCTAAAATTTACCAGTTGAGAACTTTAATGCTTACATTTTATCCTGTAGATGTTGAAGAAAACAAAGTTTTGTAACTTTGAAAGTATTTAATGCTGTGGATACGTTAAAGGTCAACCAGTCTAAAATATGTTTAGCCTCCATTCTACATTAATATAATTTACATCATCAGGTATGATAATACTAACCAAGTAAATAAACTGTAGTTAGATGTACTAAAATTGCTATTTAAATTCTACACATGTTTTATAACCAGTCATCTTTTTTGAAATCTTTTGAGATGATAGTGTTCTGTTAAAATTTATCAGAAAAACAGTATATCTAAAAGCTAAAGAATAAATGTCCCATCTATCTTTTCTGATGTAAACTATGAAGTGGATTCTTCCTCCGTAAAAGTATTTATGATGAGAGAATAAAGAATTGAGAGGATCAAGTTACTAGGGACAGAAATAAAACAGAATTGGCTACAAACAGCTAATTATTGGTCTGGGGACTGTTATGTTCATGTAACAGTTCTCCTCTTTTGCTTGTGTTTGAAATCTTTCTTTAAAAATACCTCTTTGAATGAATTAAAACACATTCATGAACACTTCTTTACACTTACACATTTTACATTCTAGTCCTTGCAAAAAGGGGTCTTAGAAAGGGATAGAAAGGGAGGCTTTGCCAATTATTCCTATAACTTGTTTTCTGTCTAGATTGACTTTCTTGTGCTGCCATCTGCTGGCCACACTGTGTAAAGCATCCATGCTGAGAAAAAAATAAGGCAATGGCCTTGCACAAATTATGATGGACAGGAGTTATAAGAATAAGTTGGCAGCCTACTTAAAAAAAAAAAAGTGCAGCAGTAAATAGGAAAATAATAATATAATCTTAAAACATAAAAAATGAAAAAGCTTCTACATGGTTCAGAAATATTTTTCCAAATTTATTTATTTTCTATATAGATTTAAATTTATAATTAATGATAATTTGCCAAAGTTATGAGTAAACTGTAACAGCCAGTATTTTTGAGACTGGAATTAATTGATACATGTGGGTATAGGTAACAGTTAGCTATGTAGCACGGGTACTCTCAAAGTGAACTTTTGGTCAAGTGTTCACTTCAACGTCATTGAATTATTGATGGTTAAATATTCATCTTTCCTATCTTCACTTCTATGCATATATACTTATCCAGTCACTCTTATCCTCGACTGCCCTATCCTTTCCTTTTCCTATATAGGTAATTATAATGGAGATATTTATTAATGAAGAAAACAGATTGTGAAAACTGAAATATGAGAAAGTGATGTAAAATTATAATAAGGTGATGTGAAGACATATGACTTAAGCGTCATTTTGATGGTCCATAAGGGCCATACCACATTCATTTTCCATCTAACTCTTTCTTTTTTAATGTATTTAATAAATTAAGAAAAATTATGATACATTTCCTGAATAAAAGAAAGACCCAAGTATCCCTAGGCATTTAAACTTGAAGGTCATCATAGTGGTTGGATGTTATGGTCCTGGCCCCTCTTATCATAGGAAATTTATTTGGAATAACATTCTGTTTCCACAGTTTTAGCCATAAAATCTCTGCCACAGACCATTGTTCCTGATTCAAGCGAAATATTTTTTCTGGACTACTCCTGGGGATCTTGGACTCAAGGCTTTGGTAATACCCTCTCGCCTAATAACAGAGTAAGAAATCCTGCCTCCCACCTTCCCATAAAAGGAAAATAATTCCCTCTAACGTGACATGGCTAACTCAACCAATCATGCACTTGGAAAAGATCCTCAGGGACTTCACTCTTCAATTTTAAAACCTAAGAGAAACTACTGCTCTTTAAGCTTTAAACATCCTGTTATAAATCAGAAGATACGGAAATCAATTAACCTATCTTTTCTTATCTGTCTTCAATCAACTCTGTACCTAGAACATTCTTGTACTCGTTCAAGTGTAGTCTCCATTATCCAATTCAGTTCTACTTTTCTAGTTTGCATGAAGCAGAGGCAATGAGAGTAATGGTTCCCTGTTTCAGCTTTAACGGTAAACATTTTCTTTTAATTCATTGGGAGAATGATAGGTAAGATTTTTTTTTTTTTTTTTTTTTTTTTGGTCAGTGATAGGAAAGAAGACTGACTCTATTTTAGCTCACAGGTATGTGTTTCCTACTTTAGCAATTACTTCACCCAGCCAAAGAAATCAGGTTACTCAAACACTTGCTCAAAAATTTAGGCTGGCTAAACAGTAGCCTTGCATACAACAGAATTTGTATATTTTACATGCTCTTGGTTGTGTAGAACCAATCTATAACACATAGGTCTTACGTAAAGGAATAATAAACATTTAAAAATAAACATTTCATAGTTTTATATTTTTTCATTAAGCTTACCATCTAAATTAACATAACACTTATTTATTTCTCTCTTGCCAAAATTACTTTAGATGTAAAAAAATGTAAATGTCGTGTCTTCGAAGTAGTATGTAACTGTAAAAAGAAATTTCTAACATGCTCTATTTTATTGCAAAATGGATGTATTCCATATTTCATGTATATAATTAATAAAATTATTAAAGAAAACATTTTAACACACGTTTTGAAACAGTTGAGATCTAATGATGTGTAAACTACCCAATATAAAAATTATTTCATATTAGTAGATAATATTGTATCATAATTCCCATTAATAGCTACCTGTGCACACTCTGTAAAAGCCACCTCTAAAGGCAACTTATGTAAGCACAGGGGATAGTGCTAGACTTTAGCACTGATTATAACCTTATGATTTATTCAATGTTTGTTTTTCTCTGTTGATTTTTATCAAAGCCTAGATGACTTACTCAGGTGTGGAGTGACCTTTGCTGCTAATATGGTGGTTGTGGATAAAGAGAGCACCATGAGTGCCGAGGAAGACTACATGGCAGATGCCAAAACCATTGTGAATGTGCAGACACTTTTCAGGTAAGTGGCTGAATCATCCAACCCTGCCACTTACTTTGTGCTAAACATTGGTAAAATATTTGACACTGACTCTGTGTAAGGAATGAACATGAGACACATCGACTTTATGTTCATTTATTCATTTGCTTTTCATAAAGTAAATGTTTATTGAGCACGTCATGTATGACTGGCACTGCGTAAAGTTAAATTTTTAGCACCAGATCAGTAATGCTTCTCATAAAATAAATTGAATGATATATCAGTTTTCTCAGATAGTTTAACAGTAGCAAATTCTTGAAAATCATGTGTACTAGTAGTCATGAGTTTTGACAAGCAGCCCATGTTCTCATATTGGTATTATGCCTAGCAGTGACCAAATATTTACATTTACATACTGAATAACTAAGACTGAAAGACTGCACAGCTGGGAACAGGTAATTTACCCATGTTAAGAGCAAAGTCATGACATCATTTTCACTATTTTCTTGTCTTTTATTAATTAAATGTACCCATTGAGTTCATTCATTGTATTTAATTTGATGGGGATATGAATCCCCAATATGGTTATCTTTGGGTAAGAATAAACAATCGCGACCAGCGAAAGATCTGTGCTATAACTAAAGTCAAACTCCTCTGTCATTCAAGTCATCAGTTTCACTTGGAACAATTCTCCCTAAAATCATATGAAAATTTAAATATCAAAAAGATCATTTTTTTAAGTTGTATGAGTTTTGGCGAAGCCTGAAGGAAATATGTGAGCTATCAAATTACAGAGGTAAATGAAACAATATCAATTTTCTCATCATCCATGTTCCCTCCACTTTCATATTGTAGCAAAGTGTATATTGAGGTTAATTATTTCATTTTCTAGTTTGAGTTCAAAATTCAAAGGAGAGAGCCTAGATGTGTGTCTGTGTTAGTTGCCTATTTGTACTATGATTTTAGGCAAATTACTTTTCTTCTCTACCTCTCAATATATTAATCACAATATTATTAAAGATTTAGACATATGCAATACCTTACTTAGCATATGCCTGGTCATTTTTAATTACTTAATAAATATTAGCTATTAATATTACTAGCAGTATAATTATCACTTCCATGTGGCAGAGTGGAAAAGCCACTGACCTTGGACTACATAGCAGCAAACTTTATCTGGTACAACATATATCCTAGAGGTTCCAGCTGACAGTCACTAACTTTGTGACCTTCCTAACCTCATTTAGATTCAGTTTTCCTCATCTCTAAAATGCTGCAGAAAATAACCCACTTTGCAGTGTTAATGTAAAGATTAGAGATCAGTTATTTAAAGAATCTGTCATAGCAGCTGGAAAATCTACAATAAATTTGCATAAGAACCTCTTGTTCCAGAAGAAGAAATACACACTTTAAACTTATTATAATGCAGCAGTTCACTTAGAATATACTTAACTAGTTAACTAGTGAGCTGTATTAAACAGCACATTTTTAAAAGACACTATATAAAACTCGTTTAAAATATTACACATATATAACCACTTTTTTCTCTAGAGAATATAAAAGAAAATTACAGGGTAGAAAATTAATTCAAGGATGAGATTTATAGCCAGCGAGTAGGGTAAAAATCATACTTTTTGATTCCATGCTTGGCAAAAGCTAATTATATGAAAGAAGATCCCAGGTCTTTTTAATTAAACATGTTATTTAAACTTTCAATTTACCATGAATTTTATTTCTATTATGGTGATGTTTCTATTGATTTAACTTTTATTATATATTCTCAGGATGAATTATTTTGATTCCAAGATAATAATAAATCCCTGTCTTACTGAGAGGTTCAAAGGCTGTAATTAGTAATTAAAAAAAATTAACTCACCATAGTAATTATGGACAGATACACACATGGCGACTAGTTGTTCAAAGGCTATGCTTCTCTAAGTACCTAGCTGAAGATGTGATTACCACTTGTTGAATGAATGAATGGATGTATGAATGAACTAATTAATAACTTTGGATACCTTGACTATTAGGCTTATCTGTCTTCAGCAATATATTTTAGAAATTATGTAGTTTTTATGGTATATATAGTGATCTAGACTGAATAGTTTTGAGCAGAATTTTTCAAAAGAACTATTAAAAACACAAATTGCAAAGAAATTACCTCTGTTCTCTCCTTTCTTATGCCCTATCATGACATTACTATTATTTCTCCAAGTATATGACAGTATTTTTTAGGAAAAAAATCATATAAAACTTTTTTGTGTGTTGTATGTTAAGCTGCTAATCTGTGTGTGCTAAGCTAGGCTAGTTTTACATTATAAAAAAGTAAGACAGACATTTATAGATTTCTATGATATAAGAAGTATCACTTATGCAGATAAATGACCAAACTTATTCAGACTTGGGAGTTGCATTTTATAGATGTAGTTAATTATCGTCCTCCAGATCACTCTTATGCATTCCTTGGAGATTTTAGTTCCTGATTTACTATGACTTTTGGCAACTCTGATTATCATAATTATTGATGATTTCAACAATCTTACATAGATAATCCTTTGAATATCTGACTTTCACCACCCATTCTCATGGTCATAGCCTAAACCTTGAACAATGAATAATTTTACACTCCACATTCTCAGTTTCTAGCATTCAACACTCTGAGTAGTGCTTTTTCTATCTAATTTCTTCTAATAGCCCCAACTCTTAATAGTCCTTTGACCACACTGGATCCTGTCATCCACTGATCCTACTACCATTTTACTTACCCTTATCACCTGAGGGCTTTTTCCCTTCCTTACCCAGATTCAAGTCTACGATCAATCATGATAATCACTGCTGCACTGAAACACTCAGTGGATAATTACTGATTATCTGCTACACACTGACACTGATCTCAGCTCTCTCCCTTTTCTCTCTTCCTCCTACTCCCAGTTTTCTCTCCTTTTAGGTTCTCTACCCACCACCTTGCATGAAATTCCTTAGAGGCAGATGACAACATTCCAGAGGTAGGATCCAGTTACCCTCATCAGTAAGCATCAGACAACTAGAAATCCAATCACAATGGCTGGATATCAGAGTATTTAGGATTCAAGTTTTGGACCCCATCCCTAAGAGAACTAAATTCTTATACATTAATTATGCATGCGGGAATAATATCTTTAAAATATTTCAGACAATCCTTATATCTTAGAGAACACCATTCATACTCTCAATTGAGAGCCAATTTCTAATTCGTTGATTGTTAAGGCCTATGACATTGATAGAAGCACAGATAACAGAAGTAATGTTGTGTGAACATTCAGATTAAAAACCAAAGTTGGCCACCTTAGATGATGAAATAGAATGCCAGCCACACCTGGTGTTTAACTTAAACCGATGCATCCACCTATCACATTGTTTATTTTGAAGTGTTTAGAAAAGTAAATTTCAGAGATCATGAGAGTACTAGAACGACCTAGACAAGCCTTTTATTTATCACTTACCCTGATTTGTTCTTTCTCTCATGATGAGTTTTATTGTTTCTTTTTTTCTAATTAATCATTTTTTTTCCTCAGGGAGGGGGCGCTCTTAGTAGGCCTTTAAAGCAGCAAACTTTCTCTGGGACTACCTCTACTGCAGAGGTTGCACATTCTCTAGAGGAGTAGTGTATCTCCACTCCTTTACCCGGAAAAGACTTCCTGAATCCTAAGCAATTGGCTCATTACCTCCCCAGACGCCATTGCCATTTCTGCATACAAAAGACAATAAGGAGATAAGATCTTTCTGGGGTTAGATCCTGTTGTACCTCTCTCCAAAAAAGGGTTTGTATTTACACATCTAAGAGAAGACACTCAAGTAAGCCATCCCAGTATAAAGAGCTCCTCAAAAGTGAAAAAAAAGCAAGTCCTCAATTTCAAATTGAAATTTACCCTTCTAAAGATAACAGGACAATCATTACCATTAGAAAACATTGCACGTTTTCATGTTTGTATGAACAAGTACTAATATCTAAACAAAGTTTAAACTCGCAAATTAAAATGTGATTTGGATTAGAAACAACAACAGTAAAAAGTCTATGTCAAATTGATCTACCAAAATATCCTACTTGGTGGCTGTTTGGCATGTTACTGGCATCTGTCATTACTTTCATTTTACTGAGAAAGAAATAAACATTTAGAGAAATGTAGTGTCTCATCCTAGCCCATCTAGAAAAACAATGACGGATTCAGGCCTATGACCAGAGTGCCAAGAAAGACAAGAGAACTTTATCTAGGAGCTGGAAAAAAAAAAAAAAAAAAAATCTCTTTGGAGAGCACACAGAATAATGTTTAGGGTGGAATGGGTAGAGAATTTGTATGGTAAAAGTCCAGGTGTGACCTAGTTGAGAAGTTCCCTTGGGTTGATTTTGTTTTAATACAAAGATTTTTGGTTGCTGTTTTTGCTGTTGTTTTCTAAACGTAAGCTGACCACACTTGTAAGATAATGAACAATGTCAATGAAACAGTCATGGATTGTCATCTGTTTGGAATGGAGCAACTCCCGCATTAGATCTATAGTAGGACAGGATCTATAGTAGGACAGGATCTGTGGCCATGCCTGCAATTGTGATTTGTTCATGTATCATGCTTGGCCCCTATGTTTATTGGATATCTAGTAAGTGTCAGGACTAGACAGGATGCGGTGGCGGCAGTAATGAACAAGGTGGACATAGCTGGTGGCCTTAGAATGCTAATAGTCTAACAGGGAAGATATTAAGCCAGTCATTTAAATTTTTAATTAGAGAATTATAACTGTGGCAATTATTGGAGAAAATATATAGAATTGTATATAGACCCAGATAACAAGAATATTTGCTCTAGTCCCATGGGTCAGAGAATGTCTTCCTGAGGAATTGATAATCTTTTACCTGAAAAGTGAAGAGAGACTAAATGGGCAAAAGGATGGGTAGAGCACATTCCATATGGGGCAGCATATAGGAAACTCTGAGATCCCAATAGTGACTATTCAAGGACTTGGAGCAGAGCAAGGGGAAGACTGGTGCGAGGAGGCTGAAATGTAATTTA